TTTCAATAAAGAATTATTATTATTATTATGAAAACAATGCTCAAATTTAAGATTAATATTGATAATCAATGAATTGAATAATCTGAGAAAGCAAAAGCGTTCGCTTCGTTTAAAACATCCTATATATCGAAATCGAAATTTTACTTTGGACTTGAATTTTTTAACATTTGTATATTCTGAAGAATCAATACATGTATAATACATATGAAGACAGAAATCTTACTTGGCGCCTGTAAATTGCAGAAAACACACAAAATGCCACTTGTAAATTCTAAAAAAAATCTTCGAGCAAAGTTAGTAAGCTAAATAGAATCAAAAGAAGTTGATATTAAATTGAATATTAAAGTTAATAGTAAAATCAACATTTCGATTCGGGACAGGATATGGCCATAGCAACCCACAAAATATGATTGTGTTCTTGTTTGGATAGTCTGTACGTCAATGGGTAATCTATATGTCTTTCTGCATTAAAAAAAGATCCAAACCTTATGAGTATCTAAAATTAATTAAAAAACCGTTTCTATTTTTTATTAATTGCGCTATTTTTCACTAATTACGTCATTTTACTGATTTTTAAGATTTAAGCTTATTAATAAATACCCTTAACGAGAAGAAAATGGAACATGCTTGACTTCTTGAACGATTGCAACGAACCTCAGTGTTATCTATACTTTTTAAATTAATTAACAAATTTTCATCCTTATTTTTTCATTATTTTGGAAATGTATTTCATGTGAGTTTGATCATTGTTGCATGATACGCCTCTGTAAATTGGTGACACGTCAATACATCACCGCTCGAAGCGTGACACAACGATACAGAGAGTCGTAGTAATTTATATTGGTTGCAAGCTCGTTCCCTACGAAGGGAACGAAGGGACCGATGAGATCTGCTGACCTACGTCACAAGGTCGACACGAAACGATTCGAACAGTTTTCTGCTTCTGTTTATTTACCTTTTTGTCCACGTATGGATCCGCCGTCAGACGAGTCGTCTGCGACAATCTTCGCGGGATCATTCCGGACGGCAGTTTTATTCGTCCCGACGAATGTGTACTGACCTTATTATACGCAACGGTTCTTCATATACGTTCTTATTTCTACGCGAAATTGAGCACACGATATCGTAACAATCGGACCCAAGGGACTCGACGGGACGTGCCGGGTCGGACACCTTGCTCGCTTCGCAGTTCCGCGCAAATTGAAATCTCGCCAAAAATTCCCCGGTGATGTAGTAATACAAATAAGGTACCCCCGTATAAAGACACGTTTCTCAATTACGCTTTCCATGCTGTTTTTCTTTCCACTACTGAAACTCCCGCGCATATCTGCTTCGTATTAATCTTTCAACAAGCATATAATGCTTAAGAAAGAAGATCACAGACTTCAAGAACAAACAGTACACACCAAAATAGAGAAAGGAAAATTCTTAACAAACCTATTTCGTTTTGAAGCGAATGCTTTCTACAATAAACAGACTTATTGACGTCGCGATAACTACTTCATATGAATTTTTTATTTCCCCTTTAATTATGACCCCTTTTCACAAAACAACATGTAATACATACTATAATGTCAATATCAATAGTTAATATTAAAAAATTAGTGTTTCTTTAAAGATAATTTATTTCTTACTTTATTTATGTATAGGTTGTGCCTAATAATTAACACAAATAATTAATAATGTTATTTTTACTAATATTTAACAATAAAGATACAGACAGAAGATGGAATAATGTTTGGAATGCAATATAATAAATAATGTTAGGTGCTCAGGGCATGTTCGACATGTAATCCATTTTCTACAATACAAAGCTACGCCCTTTATAATAGAGATTTATACTACATCAATTAGAAAATTTTGACTTATATTTCTGTGTGCTTGTGTTGTATGTTGTTAAAATAATTAATTATTATTTTGCTGTGCTTTTCTTACTATGAAATAACAATATAGATGTAACATTATGAGTTACTATTAAATTTGTTTTAATTCTTTTTACAACATTACGGATATAAAATATATGTTTCCATTTAAAAATGTGAAAATAACCTTACTTTTTTATGAAAAAAATAACTTTTCCGAAATTTTTATTATTTCAGAAATTATTGCAGAATATTGCAGAATATTGAAAATTAATTAATTGCATGTATAACTTTTCCTGCCCGATCATTAATAACTAATAAAAATAGAGAATATTGTTACAATAAATACTCTCTCTCTCTGTGTGTGTGTGTGTATGTGCTAAAATATGTATATGTGTATATAATTTCTGTATATATATAAACTGACTCGGTAATTTTATATATATATATATATATAATTACCGAGTCAGTCACATACAAAACTTAAATATCAAAGACATTACCACGTGGACAAATTTACATGAGTATTAAGGATAAGCGCCAAACCATTCGCCGCGCGTGATACCAATAGATTGACTGCACACACTGTAATCGATTGCTCGAGGTAAGTTTGAGCGGGTAAATTTGTCAGAAAATGAAGCCATCGAGCACAATATCCCTTTGATCGATTTCGCCGTTAAAATATGTAAGCGAGGTGAAGAGAAAGAGAAAGAGAGAGGGAGAGAGTGAGAGAAAGAGAGAGAAAGAGAGAGAGGGAAAGGGAACTAAATACATATACACACTATACGTTCCATACGATCGCAATAATATAGCGCACGCAGCAATTATGGAAATACCAGCGGCGACTGGCATTATAAGTGCTATTCAAGGAGATGGTTTGCGAGTGAATGCACAACAAACGCGATTTCACCGCGCGACCTTATGTGATAATACGGTAACATTTCAATTGCTGCGTGAAAATATTAATCAAAAATTATAAATTGTTAAACTATTAACTTACAAAGTTGATAGTTTAATAAAGTAAATGTTAACCGGTCTTCGCAGATCCATCCGCTTCAATCGAGGGTGTCGACGCTTGTCGTCGATGCTTGTCGCCTCCATGTAAAATTCCAGCTCGTACGCGCGGTTGTTTACCCGTTAAATCACAATTGCATGGCTTCCCGCGAGAATGAGCCCAGCTATTTGACCTATTTGAGATCTCCTCGAGACAGTGAGCGTTATTGTAAATCAGCGAAGAAAATGTACGAGTACAGGGATTCGTCCCTCGATCGCCACGGAGAATTCCTCGGCGATACACTCTTTTCGATTCATTTCTTACTTTACTCCCATAATTTTACCCTTCGTGAGTTCACTCTCGTGTACATGCTCGAAAGTAAAATGGGAATTGCTGTTTAGCGTCGCGAGAGAAAACGAAGACTCGCAAGGTCGCCTCGATGCCATACATCTGCATTGTAGAGTGTATACGTTTCGTTCGTTCCCGCAATGCAACGTGTATCGAGGCGCGACTGATTTTACGCTGAGGTTTCCACTTCTTCTAGCGATCGACGATGGCGAATTGCGCTTTGGACCGAATAAGTACCACTATGACGCGAATCCACTGATGAAATCGTATTCCCTCGAGCTAAGTAGATAATTTTATGTTTTTATTTACATCTGTATATACTTAAATGTAGCATCTTCAACGTATAGCTTACATTATTTTTATTTGCTCGTCGATATTATTCGTCAAGTAAAAAATATTTAAAATGTATACTATATATATAAAAATTAATATATATCACATGTTATATTAGATACAACATTATATTGAAACAAATTTTGTAAAACAAAGTAGATTATATTCAATACAAAATTATTTAGTATAATAAAATATTAAGTATTCAGTATATTAAATATTATTAAGTATTAAGTATATTAAATATTAAGAGTTAAGTGTATATATTAAGTGTTAACAAATATATATTTGATATTTGATAAATATATTAAATATATATTAAATATTAAATATATTAAGTAAAATTATCATCTAGTGTCTTAAATATATATATCTTAATAATATTGCAACGTTCAAAAAATTGTACTTTTTCAATTCAACTGGACTATATTTATTCAACTTTCACTTACTTATATACTTAACTCTTTTTTACTGAATAATATCACTCAATATGTGCATACGTGTATATATATATATAAAGAGCAGTATGCTTATTTCTTATAAATTTCAAATCAGTAGTAGAACCATCATTGTTGAAGCTATAAATATTATGATTAAAAAAACTATACTAAAAATATATCATATAATATAAAAAAATATTTAATTAAATGAGTGCTAAAAAGATAAAAAACAAAATAAAAACGTAAAATTTTATATATTATATTTTATATAATTATATATTATATTTTATATAATTATATATATTACATACATAATTATATATATATATATACATATATATATATATATATATATATATATATATATATATTTAATATATAATTATATATAATTTTTCTTTATTTTTCTTTTTTCAGCATATCTAATTTTTGTAGTTATACCTATTAGTTATATATATTATACCTATATATGGTAATATTGATTTGAAATCTGT